CAGGATAGAGCAGGGTTTAGGGCTGTTGTGCATAGGGTCGCTATGAGTTGGAAACGACTCGACGGCACATAACAACAACAACAACAACAAATAAATGGGGTTTTTTCGAAATAAACTTTTACAGTAAATATTGCTAACAGCCAAGAATGTTTAAAAGTTTTCTCTAAAACCATTTTAAAAGGGAAGTTCTCAAGTCTGCCTGATTATTGAACTAATTTAGAGAGTTTTTTCCCAATTATATTTATTTGCCATTTTATTTTTCAAAATATATCATCTTGTACTGCTGGTGTCTCTAAAAGTCTTAACAATATCTAATGCTTCATGACTTTTATTATTATCCTGGCTAATCTTCTCTGCATTGTTACAATTTTAGTATATGCACTGCTGGAGCAAGAACTGAGGAGTTTTTTACACAACTTCCTAGGCCTTATCATAATAATACTGGATAGTTCTGGCCTAAGTCAAGCATTGCGTTATCTAAAACACAAAAAAATTAGTTGATCCCACTGAACTGCAGTGTTTGAGAAAACTGACTATGCCATGAACTGCCAAAACACCACAAAATAACTCCATCCTGGAAATAATCAAAATGCACCCTAGAGGTAAAGAATGGTAAGAATTCACCTTTGGGCATACTATCAAGAGGCACCAATTCCTGGAGAAAGACATCATGCTCGGTAAGAGGGTCAGTAAAAAAAAAGAGGAAGGCCCTTAGTGAGACAGACTTGACCAAGTGGGTTACTAACAGCAGAGACTGTAAGGAGGGTCCAGAATTTCATTTGGGCAGCATTTCATTCTGTTGTATACAGAGTACACATGGTGGTATAGTAAATATACTAAGAATTAGTATGAAAGAAATATGTTTTATAAAACAGTTTTTTATTTGGTAGGAGCACTCAATTGATACATACCCATAAGATCAACAAATAAGGAAAGACAAGCAAAACTGATCTTACCACATACATTTTCCCCATGGTTGAAGTAACTAAAACAAACTGAAGGAAAACAAAACGCAACTCAAACTCTTGCTGTTGAGTTGGAATCACCTCATAGTGACCCTCCTGTGGCTTTTTGAGGTTGTGAATTGCAAAGGAGTAGATTGCCCTTTTTCTCAAGGAGCTGCTTGTGGATTCAAACCAAAAAGGCTCTGTATTTGAGTTAGCAGCTCAACTCCGTATAGACTGTGCCACCAGAGTTCCCTGTAGAGATTGATGAGAGCTGCATACCCTTGTTTTATTGCTGCTTTGTTCACAATAGCAAAGACTTGGAAACAACCCAAGTGCCCGTCAACAAATGAATGGATAGAGAAGCTGTGGTATATTCACACAATGAAATATTATGCAGCACTGAAAAACAAAGAACTTATGAAATATTAAACAAAATGGGTGACTCTGGAGGACATTAAGCTGAGTAAAATATCTCAGTCACAAAAAGACAAATACTTCATAATGCCACGGTTATAAAACAGGACTGACATGCAGATTAGGGGGAAACTAGACAAGAGGGGATAAAAAATGTACATGGCATTGAAACAGATGAGGAAAAGAACTATATAAAAGGAATATATGATTAGTTAATTAGTTATTATTGGCATGGCAAGAGTTCAGAATAAGAGCTGCTTAAGAAAGTGGACTGGGAGGGATTATATAACATTGAATCTTTTTTTCTTTTCCAAAGAAAAAAGGGAACTGGGGGGAAGGGGCACAGGGAGGAAAATGTGCCACAATGAATGAATGGAAATCCAAGTTCTCTATCAAGTTTCATTAAAATCTCAGTAAGAAAAGATTAACAACAGCATCAATTCTCTATCTAAGAAAGGAAGGAAAATAAAGATGTCAATGGCCTTTGAGTTACTGAGACTTCATGTATTCTATTCTTTCTCTGGGCCTCTGGATCTTTAGAGCATTCCTACCAAGGCAGGTGGTAGTGAATTTTCTTTCCTTCTTTACCTACCCTCTGTTTTGGTCTTCTTAATGATTTTTTTTGTCCATATCCCCAATTTAGAGATCAGAGTGAGCAAATTTTTAACTTAAAAAAAAATCTGCAAGTGTATTTACCTTGCATGCCCCATCAAATCGAGGCAGTTACCATACATCTAAAAGAACAATTTCCTCTAGTAACCTTCTTACTTATAAAGTCAATTAATGTGTCAAATATGAGAGGAAAATAGAAACTAAACAGAGTTATATCAAATAATATTAATACCTACAAACTTTTCAGAAGTAGATATGAAAAGTTTTAATGTCTCTGAATAAACCATCTACACAACATATTGCATTATCCTCATTACTAAATCTTGGTCAACTTGCTGAGAGAGCCTATTCCAAAGAAAGATGGTCCAGGGGACGATGGAAGTTATTAATAATAACAAATAATAAAAGAAAAGTAACAGTATCCTGAAGATAATGGAAAAAACTGAAGAAATACATCAACAGGGAACTGCCAAAAATTCAAACCAGATTCAGAAGATGTAGAAGAGAGATCAATGCTGATGTCAGATGGTTCTTGGCTGAAAGCAGAAAATACCAGACAGAGGTTTACCTATGTTTTATTGACTATACAAAAGCATCTGACAATGTAGATAATAATTTATAGATAATGTCACAAAGAATAGGAATTCAGAACAGTTCATGGTACCCACGTGGAACCTGTACACAATGAGACAGGCATTCTAACAAAACAAGGGAATTCAGGCATGGTTAAAAACATCAAGGAAGTATATATCGTGGCTATATCCTTTCACCATACTTACTCAATTTGAATGATGAGCAACTAATCCAAGAAAATCAAGTATAAGAATGTGCTATCAGGATTGGAGGAAGGCTCATTAACATGTGATAAACAGACAACTTTGTTAGCTCATAGTGAAGAGGTTTGAACATTCGCTGACAAAAGTAAAAGACTACAGTCTTCCATATGCTTTACACCTCAACACAAAAAAAAAACCCCAACCCAAAACAAAACTCTAAAATCTTCACAACTGGACCATAAACAACATAATAAATAAAGATTTAAGTTGTCAAGGATTTAAGGTTCATGAAAACAGCAGTCAAGAAATCAAACAATGTACTGCACTAGGCAAATCTGCAGCAAAAGACCTCTTAAAAATGCTAAAAAAGGCAAAAGTGCCATCATTGAGGACTAGGGCATGCCAATAAACTTTTATCAAATAACATTAAATGTGTTAGATATGGGCTATTTAAGTAGCATTTAAAAAACAAAAAGGAAGGTTTACTCTTGCCTAAAATTACCCCAAAAAATGTCACTTGTTGCATAACACAAGTAAAACTAGAAAATAGTATCGCATTTAAATACTGTGGTGATAGACTAGAGGTTAGCTTTTTTTTAGCCTACAGTTAGCTGCCTCTGGTCTCCAGGTACTGCAGATACGTGGTCTTGCAAATCATCAAAAGCTGTGGGACTAGAATAAGAGAAAAGAGTGCTTCCCACATGAGGCAGTGGACTTGAGGTGAGCAACACATGAGGTGAACAAGGCTTGTAGTGGCAAGACTCTGGTGAGTGAGAAACTGGTGGTGGAGAGATCAGTGAAACTGGCAATGTGTGACCCAAGGCTTTTTGCATTTGTTCTGGCCAGTTAAAGGTCTGGCTTTTCTTCCTGGGTGATTTGGATGTGACTGCTGAACTGAAACCAGAGCCTGGACTTACTGAGGAATTGTTGGGCTAAAACCTAGACTTGTATTCTAAGACATTCTTTGCCTCCCTAACCCATTTCCCTCATAAACTCTATCGCTGGTACCTTAATTGTGAGTCTATGAGTCAGCAACAAATAAACGAAGCTCTTGCTGTTGCTGGGGATCTAGGAGTACCAAGGGGCTGGGCAATGGGCTCTTTATTTGCTATGCAATTCTTACTCCCTCTGGCCCTTCCAGAGCGATACTCATGGCCTTGTGCCATTATGTTCCATTTTCTGCTACTTAGGCAAGTATTAATATGTTAAAAAAAAATAAAGAGTAAAGAAATGGCAATTTTTAATTCTCAATTCCTGGCAATTGTCCATTTTGTGTTACTAACTATACTAAATTACAGCAAAAGTTATTGACAAAGACAATGAAAATAGAGCAGAAGTTTATGATCATTCTCGAACTAATCAGTTTTACACAAACCAATTTTCTCAAAATTCCTACCTCAAAAGTTTGTTCAAAATTCTGAAACTCCTGTAATCTTGCCTGAAATCCTTCAGCAAGGGCTCCACCTGTAATTTATAGGCAAAGATTTTAAAACCATGTACAGCAAGACAAGATCTGCATTATGCTCCTGGTTTTTCTAAGCTATTATTATTGATGTGGTATAATATTTGTCCTATGCACACAAAAAAGGAAGCTTACAACTGATACATACCACCCTCTGGCATCCCCTGTGCTTTGTGCTTTCTAGCACTAAGAACTTCCTTTGCTGAAACAAAGAAGATACGGTTCCTTGCTTCTATATGATCCACAACTTTCAGCTCCTCCACTAAGAAATGCAGGCATCTTTCCATGTGCTGTCTGCGTACCTAAAAAGAAAAGATGACCATCAAAATAACCGAAACAATTTAAACAAACATAAGTGATATAACCAACAACCATGGTCTATGTCAAATTCTAATTATAATGGTATTATAGGGAAAGTTTCCAGATACTTTGTAATCCAAGAAAGTCTAAGAAAGTATGACACTTGCTAACAGAAGAAAATCTTTCTATTAATTTAACCCAGAGATTCTTCTTTTGAACATTCATTTAAAATTGTGATATTCTGAAGTAAATAAACTAATATTTAAAAAATTTAATTTTTTTTATACACAAATATCATACAACCTTTAAAAAAAAAAAGCAAATGTCAGTCAGTGCTTAGGGGAATCAAGAAAAGTTCCCACTTCTCCATAAAAATGTATAGAATTAGACATAACATATGCACAAATTAGCAGTATTGATTTTCATTCCTATCTTACTCATACTTTCTAAAATGTCTACAGTGAGGCCATTACTTCTGAATAATGAAGCTGTAATAAAACCGCCACAATGATACTGTTTTTACCTTTTAAAATCAGAATAAAAATGGTGTCTTTTTCATTAAAACATGGTAACTATGGCTGAGAACATAGCACTTTTGTTGGTAGTGCTGTGGATTCTGTACACCACAGGTTGGAAACCTTTCTTATCCTGCCCCATCCTTGTAAAGTCCAGCATGTTCAAGTCCACTATTACAGGGATTGTGCCAGCTCACCTCATTAAGCGGTGACCTAGTCTGTGATCATATTTTTTTTCCCCATTGAACCTCTCTACTTTTCCAAGCAAGGCTGAGGAAATGGCATTAAAAGAAAGTAGAGTCACAGTGTTGTTCAAGATTAGCATTTTGTTAAACCTAAAAGTTAAAATAAAATTAGTACTAAATGTTATCATGTTATCATTATAGAAACTTTGGAAGCACTATGAGTAAAAGCATTTTTCATTAACCAAAAGGTTTCACATTTTGAATTCAATCATCACTGAATGAGGAGTTACAACCCTGGAAATGCTATGGGCAATTCTTACAGGGTTACTGTAAATTGAAATTGACTTGATGGTAGTGGAGGTTTTTTTAGGTTTTGTTTGTTTTAATATTAGGACCATTAAGCTATCTCTGCCAAGAGTTAGGAAAACAAAGCAAAATAGAAATGATAACTATTAAAGAATAATCTGTAGATGGTTTTTCCAAATTCTCTGGTGATTAAATGAGATCTCTAATTGAAAAATCCATGATCACAGACAAAAGTTAAGTCGTGATCCGAATTCCAATTTGGGAGAAAAACAAATTAAAGCAAGTAATTTCACATCAAGGAGTGATAAAATAATTACATACTCACACACACTCCACACACTTGCTTTATATGATTTTCCACAATAAACACATACTATTACTAAGTCAGGGAAAGTCTTATTATGCAAAATAAATACTACTTATAGATCACATAACAGATACTCCTTTCTTTTAAAAAAAATAATTTTGACAGAAGTGTTATTAAAACAAAATTCCAAGTGTTGTTGAGCATATGAGCTGCCAACTCTGCTGATGGGACGATAAACTGATATAAGCACTCTGCAAAGTTCTGGCTGTCTACTAAAACACTTAAAAATGTAAAATTTGTATCTACTTGGCAGACACATCCAGAATGTCTCCTGACACTGACAAATATACTTTGGAGTTCAAAACTACTCTTCTCCTGCCATGGAAAACCACTTGTGTAGACCTAGCATACATATTTAGCTCCAAAGACATGCACCATCATGTACACAACAGCATTTTTCATAATAGCTAATTAATTACTCAAAGGGAGCTCTGGTGTGTCATATAAAGTGAGTTGTACTGGTAACTCAAAGGCTGTGCATCTGTGGCAGTTTGAATCTACTAACAGCTCCAACAGAGAAAAATGGCAGTCTCCTCCCTCTGTAATGTACAGTCACAGAATAAAGTTGGGTCACTAGGAGTCAGAGCCAACCACACAGTGGAAAGTTTTCTGTATTACGAAAATGTACATCACTAGTAGACTGAATAAAGTGGATAATATCAATAGGATACTATCCAGCAACAAAAACGTGCAACTACAAAAGCAGTAGCAATATGCATCACAAGAATACTACTAAGCAAAACTGGGGACAAAAGTGGGTAATGTACAATTCTAGTACATGGAAAGTTGAATTATTGGGTGGTTGCAAAAAGTATTCAGGATTTTGGTTTTTATTATTTATTATTTTTTTTATTATTGCCATTAGGCAATAATTTCATAATAAACCTTATCATGAAATATTAAATATGTGTGTGTAGATCTATATATAAAGCTTACTTTAAGCTCTCTCTATATATACAGTTGGTTGTAAATATATATTGCATTTTTGTCTGTTTTTAGGGTACAGAACACAGGGCATCAAAATAAGACTTTTGCCAAATCTACTTACACAAATTCAAACTCAGCTGCAGTGCAGCACAAAGAGTAATAATAATGATGTTTAGGGCAAGGGAAATAACAGTGAATGTGGAAGGGGAAGTGAAGAAGGCTGGGCAGAAAAAGGAGAATGGGGAATATCACTAGGTACCAGAGATTGTTGGGGGGAGAATAAAGCAACAGGAATAATTCAATGGAAACTTGAAAAGTTGGGGCAATAAAAGGCATAGATCAAAACTAATTATGTCTACAACCAGGAGAAGATAGACGAATGGGATCTTCTAAGAATCAAATCCCTATGCACATCCAAAAACTTCTCCAACAGGGTAAAAAGGGAAGCTACAGACTGGGAAAAAGTACTTGGTAGTGACATGTCAGATAACAAGATAAAGGTGAATAATTCAATTGAAAAATGGGCACAGGATATGAACAGACACTTCACCAAAGAAGACATTCAGATGGCTAACAAGCACATGAGAAATGTTCAAAATCCCAGCTCTAAAAGAGATGCAAATCAAAACAACTATGAGATATCATCTCACCCCAGTAAGAGTAGCAAAATTTAACAGAACGGCAAGCAACAAATTCTGGCAAGGTTGTGGAGAAACTGCAACCCTTATTTACTGTTGGTGGAAGTGTAAAATGGTGCAACCACTGTGGAAGGTGGTGTGGCGCTTTCTCAAAAAGTTGCAAAGAGATACCATTTGACCCAGCAATTCCACTACTGGGAATATACCCGAAAGAAACCATAACTGCCACCCAAGCAGATATATACACACCCATGTTTATTGCGGCTTTGTTCACAATAGCAAGGAGTTGGAAACAACCTAAGTGCACACCAACAAATGAATGGATAGAGAAGCTGTGGTATATTCACACAATGGAATACTACGCTGCTTTGATAAACAAGGAACTCATGCAATATTATTTAAAATTGGTGACTCTGGAGGCCATTATGCTGAGTGAAATATCTCAGTCACAAACACAAATACTGCATAGTGCCACTGCTGAAAAACAGGACTGACATCAGGGTTGGGGGGACACTGTGAAAGATGGGATAAATAATATATACTGCATTGAAACAGAAAAGGGGGGAAACTGTTTTAAAGGGATATGTGATTAGGTATTATTGTCATGACAGGAGTCCAGAACGAAGGCTGCATAGTGGAGTGGACCTGGGGACAGGGATTTTAAAACAATGGGGGAATTATTCTTTTACTTTTCAAAGAGAAGAGTGTACTGGGGGGAGGGGTGGACAGGGAGAAAAGTGTAACAATGAACGAATGGAAATCAAAGTCTCTATAAATTTTCATTAAAATTAATAAAAGAATGATAAAATTTTAAAAAGCTGTTTAATATGCATAATGCAAGTTGTTGATTCATTCTCGATGTCATTTTCTTCTTCATACAGTTAAGCTTCATACAGTTAAGCTGACTGGATAAATTGTGTATACTGAACTGAAACAGATGAGGGAGTGAATTTAAAAGCTATGTATGACAGGATATTATGGTTATGTACTTGGGGCGATGGGAGCGGTGGTGGGGGATTGTGTAGCAGGGAAGGAGTGTTTCTTACTTTTGAAAGAGAGGAGCGAACTGGTGGGGGGGAGGGCTGGGGGTAAAGAGAAGTGCAGCAATGAATGAATGGAAATCCAAAATCTCTGTAAATGCTCATTAAAATTATTTAAAAAACAAAAAAAAACTATGTAAAAGAAATTTATGTGAATGACTGTATAAAACATAATGTACATGAATGAAACACAATGTGTATAAATGAGTGTATGCAAATCAATTTTTTAAAATGCCTTTAGAAAATGTCAACTCCAGAATGCTGGAATTTTATGCTTCCAGAATAAAAATAGTTTGTATTTAGCTGACAAAAATGTACAGATTGTATTTTTTTTTTAAAAAGTAGACTGTAATGACTCTTATTTTAAAGTTTGAGCACAGTTATAAAATTTCAAAGTTGACAAGTAGTAACTTGTATTATCTTTGCAACAATCTAGTAAAAAATTAATCTATAATGTTAGGAGTTTTGGTGGCTAGTGGTCAACTAGTACTGTCAACCCAAAAACATGCAAATCAAATGTGCTGGCTGCTCCACAGAAGAGAGATGGGCAGTCAACACCTCTGTGATTTATGGCCTTGAAAACCTGCTGGAGAGTCAGTCCTGCTGCACCATAAACAATAACAAAAAAGTCATGACTGAAGTCAGGGAAGGTGATTACTTTTTTAGAGAAAAGAAAGAAACTGGGAAGACCAGATGAGGATGGGGGATGAGAATATCCTCCTTCTTGATCTGTATCCATACATAAATGTGTTAAATTTGTAAAATTAAAGGAGTTAGACACTTAATTGAAAATTTTTTATTACAATAAACTTAAATAAAAAGCAATATAAAAGAAATAAAGTTTTAAGTTCTGAAATGTTTAACTCAACCCATAGCTGTCAAGTCTGAAAAAATGCCTAACAGATCCTCCAGCGACTTTTCAAAGACTATAAACTGCACAAGAAGAGTCTGTTCATCTTTTTTCCACAAAGCATGTAGTGGATTCGAACTACCTGCCTTTGGGTTGGCAGGGCAACTCTGTATGGATTAGGCTTAGACAGTATTTTTATAACACATTTTCCCTCAAAGTCTAGTAGTACCTTAATGTACATGTTTTTTCTATAGTTTTCTAGTTTTTCTAATAGTTCTCTATAATTATAAAATTTTCACAGGTAAGAAAAGATTTCTTATGGTGTACTATTCTGTACCACACACTATTTCTCAAACAAGAACTTTATTTCAAAAATTAGGAAAAAACAACTTACATCTTCCATATATTCTGGCTCTGATGCAGAGGCATCCCAACGATTATTCAAAATGAAAATATTGGGCTTGGAAAGGCGCTCATTTACTTTGTGAAAAAAATGCTTTTCCTAAAAGACAAAAAGAACTAACAGTAGGTTCACTTTTAAAAATTATTTTATATTTACATTTATAACAAAAATATATTTAAATCTAAAAATTTGAGCCACTTAGACAACAGTGATTTGCATCCACTGATAAGGGGTCTCAAAGAATATTCTACAAGCATTTTATTTTTCCTGAGATGAGAAAATGAAAACAGCAAGGCAGAAGCTTTGATTTCTCTGCCCCATCATAACTTTTTCTCAAATTCGATTTAATAAATCATTATCAGCAAAAAACATATCACAGGACAAACAGACCAGGCTCTCAAAAAGATACCTCAAATATCTTTTAGAGTCAGGCTAAATAAAATATTATCTGTGTAAAACACATAAACAACTCATAAAAGAGAAATATATACCAAAAAAGTTAAAACTATTCACATCATATTTCAAACTCCATAAAAAAGGACGTGGTAATAGATATGAGCATGAATGTACTTATAATTGGTATTTTTGAACAATGAAATGAGGGAGGTTAAAGAATTGTAGGAAAAAGCACTAAAATCAGAATTTTTAATAGAAATTTTTTTTAATCCAATTTTTCACTTACCAGTTTCTAAGTGACCATCGGTGTTGTCTTACTAGCCTGGACTATGATCACACTAGACTGGACAGTATAAACAAAAAGGACAAAACTAAAATATTGATGGTAACACCCAGGTTATAATGTTGCTCAGTCATAATGTATTTTGATGAATAAGAGGTTTTATTTTTCTCATATTTAGATTGGGAAATTGTGGATTATTCACAGATGAACTAGTTAAGGAACATTCAGGAGCAATGATTTTGAAAAATATCACAAAATAAAAGGAGAGAGACTGAAGAACAATATGCTGAGTGAACAAACTCAGTCCCAGAAGGGAAAAACTGTGTAAGACCATTAAAGTATAAAGATAACTAGTAAGACGTGTATGAAGGTCCAAAGTTGGGTGAAATAAGAGGTTTTTAAATGTTATGCAATTTATCTGGGTTAAGTACAGTTCTAGTAATCATCTAGGATTAGATAGGGGCTTCGAGTATATGCACATGAAGCTGGAACCTAAAGCCTAACTAGAAAAGGATGAAAAGGAGAAAAGCTGGAAATCTGACAGTTAAAACATGAAAGGCTTTGCCTGCTAAGATAGAGAAGGTATATATTTTATTTAAGAGATTTAAGTAAACATACTAACAATTCTAGGGTCCATTCTTCAGAGACTGGTAAATAATCAAAGATTCAGAAGAAACCAGAGCCATCAAATCAAAGCCTAGACTGCTGGTGAATACACTTAGTGAACATGCTCTAGATTGATTCCATTCAATTCCTAATAACAGAGGATCTTCCAGATAATAAAGTTCTTCCTAATACAGAATTTCTGGTAACAGAGGCTCTTCCAAATACAGGATTTGGAATTCCCAACTATTAAAAGTAAAACCAACATAATTTTCTTAATTTCATGCCCAAACACAGTAATATAATGAAATTTTACCGTATTCATTAGTGTTGATTCAGAGTTTGCAACCAAAACGAAGACATCAGCATCTAAGCAAAATTTATCAATCCAGCTATCCAACTCTGTAGTGACATCTGTGCCTGGACTATGGGAGGGAAATAAAAATTGTTATGATATCATCTTTTATAAAACAAAATCTGAGTTACAAAAAGACACGCTTAGTTGTTTATGTTTGATGCTTTTGTACTCTAAAAAGCAGGATTTCTACCAATACCAGTGTATTTAAATTAGTCTCTAACCAATAAAAAGAGTAATCGTGGCAGGTTGAGGATCTGTGCTTTAAAATATGTATGCTTACTTTGCTGGTTAAGGGACTGCTGACAGGGGCTAGCCAAACAACAATTTAACAAAGACTCTAAACAAAAAGAACCTAGTGACCTTAGACAAAACAATAAAGATGATCAATATTTCTTTCTCTAAATCTGTATGTGGGGAAAGCTCAGAAATTTAAGTGCCAATAACCATACACAAAAGCAAAACCTCCACTAGACGAGAATCATACACATCATCCCTTAGTTTAGATGAAATAATTCCAATTGTCTTTTATGTTGCTGCTGTTATTAAGTACCATCGAGCTGAGTAGGACTCATAGGCACCCTACAAACAGGTCTGAATTCTGTTCTATCCTGTATCATCTTCACACTTACTGATACACTAACTCCCATTGCAGCAGTCACCATGTCAATCCACCTGGTCAAGGGTCTTCCTCTCCTTCACCAACCATCCACCCAAGAATCATATCCTTCTTCAAGGAGGAGCCCTTCCAAGAAACATGCCCAAGTATGTGAGGTGAAGCCTCATCATTCTTGCCTCCAAAGTATACTCTGGCTGCAACCTCTCCTCTCCAAGATTATTTGTTCTCTCGGCTGTCCATGGGATGTTCAGTGCTCTTCTCCAACTCCACAGCTCAAAGACATCAATTCAACTTCTGTCATCTTTATTTACTGTCCAGCTTTCAGATGCAGAGAAAGTGATCAGAAAGACCAAGGCCTGTTTCAGACACACCTTAGTCCTCAAAATGACATCGCTACTTCTCATTAATTTGGAGATGTCCCTAACTGCAGATTTTTCCAGTGCAATGCATCTCCTTATTTCCTGACTGCTGATACTAAAGGTATTAATTATGGATCCAAGTTGCTGACAGTTTCAATCTCTTCTCCAGCCATCATAATGTTGCATATCAGTCAAATGGTAAAAATCTTTGTTTTCTTGGCATTGAGATGCAATCCATACTGTAGGTTGCATTCCTTGATGTTCTGCAATAAGGGCTTTGGGTCCTCCTCACTTTTCAGTGAGGTTGTATTATTTGCATAATGCAGGTTATTGATGAGTCTTCCTCCAATCCTGATGCCACAATCCTCTTCATACAGTCCAGCTTCTCGGATAATTTGCTTAGCACACAGATTAAATAGGTATGGAGACAGAATACAAGCCCAATGCACTCCCTTCTTAATTTTAAACCATGTACTGTTTCCCTGCTCTGTTCTTAATAGGTCCAGGTATAGGTTTAACATGAGCAAAATTAAGTGCTCGGGAACTCCTAATCTTCTCAATATCAGGCATAACTTGTTATGATCCAGAGTCAAACGCCTTTGCATAGTCAATAAAACACAATACAACTGTCTATATTTTAGCTTAATGTATCCTATAATAAATTAACAAGATGACTGGCTGTGGTCATGGTGTAGTCTGGTCTTAAAGTCAATTAGCTAATATTCCTTTTAAGTTAAAAATTTTGACGTTCTAACGATTTTCTCTCTCACTGGAAACATTTTTGCTTGTATAAAACATTTAAAATCGAGGGACACTTTGACCAATAAAATAAAGGAATAAAAAGAAAAAAAACATTTAAAATCTTTGATACTGATATGCTTAAAAGATGCATAAATTTTTATTAAGCAACAGTACAGCAAATCTTTAAAGACATTAATAAAAGAAGGGTAAGAACAGACTTAGAAAAGCTAAAAAAATGCGAAGGTAAACAATAAAAAACTACACAAGTTGTTGGGCAGTTACTTTGGGAAAACTGGGCTCAGAAACACTGTTATTAAGAAAAATATCTAGAATTATATCGTTTCTAAGGCTAAACACTCAAATTACAAAATTAGTGCAGTAAAAGAAAAGCACCTATGCACTTGTAACTTTCAGAAAATCATAATTACAAATTTGTACTTTCATGTAATATTTAAAAACTACTTAAAACACCAAAATTTTATCTATTTCCTTAACAATCTAGCAAATGAAAACAAACCAACAAATGGAGATTTAAAACTTCAATACTACATGGTAAAGCAAGCAGTATTATTCTGTTAACTTCTTTTAAAACAAAATGCAATTAATATGTAATGTTACCTGTCTACTAAAACCAAGTCATCTCTCAAGAGAGCACATTTTGCCTTTGGCCAAAACACATGCACAAGACAGCCAGCTTTCAAGTCTTTGTCCATATGAAGGGCATGGGCCAGCTGATTAACTGTCTAAAGAGAGGGGGGGAAATGTACATGTTATAAATAAAAGTCAATGAAAAACAAAGATACTATGAATTGACACATAATTTTTGCAAAACATGTACAAGATGCTTAGCACAGGGAGTTAAGGATGCTGACTGAAAGGCCCTTGGTTCAAACTCACCAAACATACAAGGACGAGGCAGTAGGCTTGTGTAAAGACTATATCCTTAGAAATCCTACAGCAGTGAGACGGGATTGCTTTGATTTGGAGCTGACTCATAGTAATGTGTTTGGCTTGGTTTTTATACAAAAAGGATACCTTTTAATCAGAAATAAAACCATATGGACAATCTAGAAAAGCCTGTTTGAAAATTACCGAGTTGTTATGTGCCGTCCAGTCACTTGCGACTCATAGCGACCCTATGTACAACAGCCCTAAACCCTGATCTATCCTGTGCCAATTGCACTGCCTCTGACATACCCATCCCGATTACCCCAGTCACTGAATCAATCCACCTCACAGAGGGTCTTCCACTCCTGTGCCGTTCCTCCATCCTCCCAAGCATGATGTCCCTCTCCAAGGACCTGTTCCTCCTTACATGTCCAAAGTATGTCAGACAAAGCCCCAGAATCCTTGCCTCCAAGGAGTAGCCTGGTTTAACCCTCTCTAGGATGCATGTTTGTTTTCTTGGCAGTCCAGGGTACATTCAATACTCTTCTCCAGCACCACAGCTCAAAAGTGTCAATTCTCCTATCCTCTCTAGTCACTAACTCTCTGATGCATAACAAGTGATTGCAAAGACCATAGCCTGTATCAGACACACCTTGGTCTCCAGAGAGACACCATTGCTCTTCAGTACCCTTGAGAGGTCCCTAATAGCAGACTTTCCCATGGAAATACATTTTTTTTTATTTTCTGGCTACTAGTGCCAAGAGTGTTGACCGTCGAGCCAAGCAAACTAATAATCTCAATCTCTTCACCATCCATCCTGATTCTACCAATTGGTCCAGTGGTGAGAATCTTTGTCTTCTTGACATTGAGTCCATACTGAAGGCTGCAGTCCTTGACCCTCTGCAGCAAGCACATCAGGTCCTTCTGTTTCAGAAAGGAGTGTTATGTCATCTACATAACGCAGGTTGTTGATAGATCTTCCACCAATCCTGACGCCACACTTCTCCTCATAGAGACTGTTCTGCATACAAGTTGATAGGACACATCCCTGGCGTACGCCTTTCCCAATTTTGAACCATGCAGGGTTTCCTTGTTCTGTTCTGACGACTGCCTCTTGGTCCAAGTATAGGTTTCGCATTAGAACGATCAAGTGTTCTGGGATTCCCATTCCTCTCAGAGTCAGCCACAGTTTGTTATGATCCACACAGTCAAACGCCTTTGCATAATCAATGAAACACCAACAGACATTCTTCTGGTATCCCCTGCTTTCAGCTAAAATCCATCTAACATCAGCTACAATATCCCTAGTACCACGACCCCTTCTAAACCCAGACTGGACTTCTGGCAGTTCTTTGCTGATGTGCTGTTCCAGTAGTTTTTCAATAATCTTCAGTAGAATCTATCTTGCATGTGAAATCAGTGATCTTGTTCCATCGTTTCCACACTCTGTTGGGTCACCCTTATTTGGAATGGGAACAAATATAGATCTCTTCCAGTCAGCTGGCCAAGTGGTTGTTCTCCAGATTTCTTGGCACAACTTACCAAGTGGGAGTGGGGTGGGGCGAGAATTGAATTGCTCATATCCCGTTTATGGAAAAATAATCAAGACTGGAAACATTTTTTTCTTATTAATTTCAATGAAAATTTAGAGACTTTGAATTTCCATTCATTTATTGTTGCACTTTCTCTCTCCCTACCCCTCCCCCCAAGTTCGTTCTTCTCTTTGAAAAGAAAATTATTTCATTGTTATATAATCCCTCCCCCAAAGTCCACTCCACTGTGCAACCTTTGTTCTGGACTCCTGTCATAACAATATCTAATCATATATCCCTTTTAAACAGTTCTCTCCCTCATCTGTTTCAATGCAGTATACAGAATTTATTCCATCTTTCTCATTCTCCTCCCAATCCTGATGTCAGTCCTGTTTTGCAACACTGGTACTACACAGTATTTGTCCTTTTGTGACTGAGATATTTCACTCAGCATAATGTCCTCCAGGGTCACCATTTTGAATAGTATTTCATGAGTTCCTTGTTTTTCAATGCAGCCTAGTATTCCATTGTGTGAATATACCACAGCTTCTCTATCCATTCGTTTGTTGATGAGCACTTGGGTTGTTCCCAACTCTTTGCTATTGCAAACATAGATGTGCATTTATCTGTTTGGGTGACAGTTAAGGTTTCTTTGGGGTATATTCCCAGTAGTGGAATTGCTGGGTCAAATGGTTATTTCTATTTCCAACTTTTTGAGAAAGCACCATACTGTCTTCCATAGTGGTTGCACCATTTTACACTTCCACCAACAGTGAATAAGGGTTTCAGTTTCTCTACAACCTCGCCAGCACTTCTTGTTGCTATTCTGTTAAATTATTGTTTGCTCTTCTGTTAAATTTTGCTGTTCTTTTTTTTTAAATTTTGCTATTCTTACTGGGGAAAGATGATCTCTCATAATTGTTTTGATTTGCATCTCTTTTAGAGCTAGGGATTTTGAACATTTCTTCATGTGTTTGTTTGCCATCTGAATGTCTTCTTTGATGAAGTGTCTCTTCATATCCTGTGCCCATTTTTCAATTGGGTTGTTTACTTTTATCTTGCTGTGGTGCTCGAGTATTTTATAAATTTTGTATATAAGTCTCTTATATGACATGTCATTACCAAATACTTTTTCCCAAGACTGGAAACATTTCAAATGCTAAACAATGAAACTCTGATAATGGAATCCTGGACAATCTTTGAAACTGGTTAAGACTTTTGTTTATATTTTTATCTATTATAAACATAAAGTTTATAACAAAGTGTTTCCATTAGTTTTGGGAAAGTTTTTGGAGTTTCTGCTACTTTTAAAAAAAATTTTTAATTCATTTATTTATTTTTATTTTATTATTTTTTTGTGTGTGTACTGTCAAATCAGATCTGACAGGTACAGGGAGATATTGTTCCTCCTTCTCCAGCAGAGCATCTGGTGGATTTGAACCGTGCACCTCTGGGAAGTTTCTGCTATTTTTACTTATTTGTATTTTCTGATTCTTTTGAAATGAATGTAGACTACTTAATAATGAGAGATAAAGAAAATATAATCCATAATTAAAACAAGCTTTAAATAAAGCTCCACAGAAAAAAAGGTTGACCAATATAAAAGAAATTTAATATAAATTCTTCCTTTCATATGTTTTCCTCAGTAGTTATTTAAATATGTAACACTAATTAAAACCAATGGCCTTCCCTTTTCATTTAAATTCACCAAAATATTTCCACTTTTCAAGATAAATTCTAACACATTTACTTATTAATGGGCTAATCCAACACACTTAATGCATGTGAAGTAAATATATACTGTTATTGTTTTGCACCATGGAGTCGGAACTGACTCACAGCAATTCTTACAGAGGATTTTCAGAAGCATTAAGTTGCATGGAAGGAGATTGTTCATCTTTTTCCCACAGAGCAGCTGGTGGATTCAAACTGTGAGCCTTTGAGTTGGCAGTGCAACTCCTTACCACTAAGCTACCAGAGCTTCCTAAAAGTATAATCAATGTAGAAGTTTAAAAAAAATTAACAAATAAAAGAAAAGTTCATTAGCACACATATCTCCATAGTTCCTATGTGGCTTATGTCAAATTCTGAAGAGAAATATCTAACTACAAATAAGCAGAAAAGTCCTGGTTATGGCTGGACCAAGTTTCAAGTTAATTTCTATAGAAATAATGTTAAGTGGTATTGAGGGTGTGTGGGGTTTTCCCTGGCTTTCACAAATTTTTTGACAGACCAGTAAACTTATATGAAAAATCTTAGTATTTCACATTAACATTAAAAGTAGCTCTTTGAAAAAAAAAGTAGTTCTCTGATGGGACTGGTGTGAGTTACTCCACATATTCAAACTACATCTGGTACACTCAATGATTTGTTATTCTGCTGGGTTTTTTTAACTAAAAAAACCCCACTGTATAAGACTAAAGTCTATTTGAAAATTATAGTTTACCTGAGGTTAATATATTTTTTAAAAAAATAGGCTTGCAAGCAGGGCCTCAAAAAAAGTTAATTTGAGACTCAAGATTGTTCCTTTCCATAGAAATTTTCAGTAAAAGGCAAAAAATTTATACAATCTGCAGAGAAACAAGAGTATACTTGAGGTAAACATTCTAATTTAGGAGGACAAAGGAAGGAAAAGAACATAAGGAAGAAGGGATTAAAACAATATATGTAAATAAGTAAATATGTTATCAGTATGAAATAACAATGAATAAGGAAGACTGAAGAACAGATGTCTCATTGTGGTATTCAGAGTACTACTAATATCATGGACTGCCAAAAGAACAAGCAAGCATTCTTGGAAAAAGTGTAACCAGGGTGCTCTTTACAGAAAAAGACGGCCCAATCTAACTCACATGCTTTGGGCATGTTGTCAAGAAAGGGCAGTCTTTGGAAAAAGACACCAAGGTCATCAAAGGTCATATAAAAAGAGGAAGAACCTCAAAATAAGATGGATTCATATATTGACTGTAACAATGGACTCAAGCAGAGGACAGATCATGGGGATGGTTCAGGACAGGTGATCTGGTCTGTCACTCACAGGATTGCTGAGTCATAATCGACTCAGTGGCACCTAATAACATAAAATAACACTTTGTACTTTTCTTTGGGAATAGCCAGCCAAAAATGGTTTAAATTCTGATTAAGTAAGAATATTAATGATAAAGTAATGATAATTCTTTCATATACATGGTAATTACTAATTTGAAACTATTTTCTTAACATCTATTTCACTTCCCACAACTAAAGTCAAGAGTATCATTTTTCTAAGGAGATAAATGTAAGCAGAGTAAGATACCTGACAGATCAAACAACAAACTCATAGAACCAAAACTAGAATCTATTACTTCACCTACGGTGTAGCAAAACTAAAACAAAATGGATCTCTAAACAGTGAACATTTGGATTCACAGAAAAGATCTTTATACTTAACAGAAAAGATCTTTATACTTAAGAGAAAGAAGCAGCTTCCTTTTAGAATAATTCTACAGGCTCAAAGGGCATGGGGCTGGGCTGTCCAGAGCCAACATCTTGCATGCTAATTTACTGTTTTGTTTTGAGATGAAGGAGTTTATTGTTATGTGTCATCAAGTAGGTTCTGACTACTCATAAAGAGTAGAACTGCCTTTTAAGGTTTTCTTGGCTGTAAATGTTAAAGCAGCACGTCACCAGGTCTTTCTCTAGCAAAGCTTCAGAGTCAATCCAAATCATCCATCTTTTTGGTTAACAGCCAAAGTGTTTATTCATTTTGCAGCAGGACCACATGAAGGAATCTAGTGGTATTGAAAACTGTTTTAAGAAATTTATGAAACAGATAATTTCCATTGATTGTCTGATAAAATTATAACATTTATTCATATACACAATTTCTAAATACTCCTAAGAAAAGAGTAAATAATATCCAATGGCAGACATGTCAAATCAGATTTCTTTCCACAAAATATTTTAAAGACTGGAGATTAAATAGCAACAATAACACATTTTAGTAATATTCTTCCCATTGTAAAGTTTAAAAAACTATTAAGATTTTAACTCAAATTTATTTTTTATTTTATTCATTTATTTTATTCTCTTCTTTTTTTTTTTACAAATAGAACATAAAATGCTAGTTAAGGCTTTAATAGTAATAGTTCTTTCATCTCTCTCAAGAGAGATAGTGTTAAAAAATAATTTAAGGACATTATTTCAGATGTATTTTGCTGCTAAAATTCAAATACTATACCTTCACACTCCTTTTTTCATCTGATCCTTCCGTCATAAGAAAAGCTTTATCTCCATCAGTTCCTTCAACACTCAAAAAGCAGTTGGTTGTATGGCCAATTCCACTAGGGAGAACTTTATCCCACAACATTGCATTGATTACAGAACTCTTCCCACTGCTTGTCCTGCAGGGGCAAGAGGGATACAATCATGAAAATAAAACACTGACAAAAAACATGTTGTTCCATGGATCTAAGCTCAAGTTCTCCCGAATTAAAATTTTGTTAAAATTTTTTCAGACTGTATTTTTTAGGAAAAATGTTTACAACCTGATTTATGCAAAGAAAAGCAGTTTCTATCTCAGAAAGATAAAGTAGAAAGCATATTTAAATTTTTTTCATAAAGATATCCTTTAAAAAAAAAGTTATCCTTGACACTTCTAACTTAAGTACCTTTGCAAATTGAAAAAAACTGTGGTTCTTTGGAAACATTTCTAAAATTCTTTGACACTTCCCTTGTCACAAAATGAGGTCTAGTACCCCTTAAATCAATTGATTTGTGATATGCTTCTAAATAATTTTTGTCAAAGCTGACACTGGGTGATTCCCAAAATTAGGCCATGAGAGAAAATGAATGTTGCTTGTCTTTGTTCACCAGAATAAGTAAACTTACATGGCAAAACTCCAAATTCACCAAGCTATGAAAAAAGTCCAGCTAGATGGAGAGGTCTGGGAAAGTGCTGGAGTTGACAGTCCTAGTGAAAAGCCTCCTTGGCAAGGCAGCAGACAAGCAAATGAAGTCTTTAGATCTTTCTGGACCCTAATTGTTGAATTACCCTTAACACGTGTTTCCATTTGAAGATTCAAAATTCTGTAGGGCAAGACCAAAACATCTTCTTTGTTCCCTGTCTGAATTCTTGACCAAGATAATCTCTGAGCACAGTAAAATGGTTGCACTTAAATTGTTGAGTTTTGGGAAATTTGTTATCATCTATAATCAGAATTCTTCTGATGGTACTGAAAACCTAAGGATAGTACATATCCACATGACAGAACTGTTTTCAAATAAGTAAACTCAAAAACTTCAGAAGCCATTCAGAGCTTGAGTCCTGTGGGTCTGCCCACAACACAGGAGCTCTTAAACCATTCAGGCTGCTCTGACTTCTCATGGCCCTAAGGTTAGTACTTTTCACTTTATTGCAAAACAGTATCTTAGACCTATATCCTATATGCTTCAACTTTTTCCCTTGTAGTAGGAGCTGAACCTTTACTCATGCTAACAGCAGTATCTACTATTGCCAAAGGACATGATCTTAATTTTTCTTCAGTCTATCCCCTTAAATTTAAAAGCCAAGTCAGGAATAGGTTTGAAGCCTTGAACACTAATGAATGAAGACCAGATGAGCTGTGGGAAGATATCAAGAATATCACCCGTAAAGAATGCAAAATGAAGGAAGAAGAAAAGGCCAAAAGAGATGTCAGAAGAGACTCTGAATATTGTACTAGAGCACTGAGAAGCCAAAGCAAAAGGAATAAATCAAGAAGTTTAAGACCTGAACAGAAGATTTCAAAGCACAGCGAGGGAAGACAAAGCAAAATATTATAATGAAATGTGTAGATCTGGAGTTGGAAAATCAAAAGGCCCAAATTCACTTAGAATTTCTTAAGCTGAAGGAAACGAACAAATTCAAGTGTCGAGGTGAATACTTAAGAATGCTATGGGCAGAATAATACTAAATAATCCAGGAAGCATTAAAAGATGTAAAGAGCATAGTGTCGCTGTACCAAAAAGAACTTGCTGATACAGAGAATTTCAAGAAACATATAATCAATGAAGCCATGATGAAGGAGCAAGTACAGGCTGATCTGAAGGACTTCACAAAAAACAAAGCACCAGGAATTGATGGACTACCACTTGACATACGTCAACAAGCAGATGCAGCCATACAAGTGCTCACCATGTTGTGCCAAGACATCTGGAGGACAACTACCTGGCCAAGTGACAAGAAAAGAATCATATTTATTTGCATTGCAAAAAAAAAAAAAAAAAGGTGACCTGAAAGAGTGTTGGAACTTACCCAACAATATTACTAAATATCACATGCAAGCAAAATCCTGCCGAAGATTATCCAAAAGCGACAGGTACTGCCAGAAATACAAGCTGGGTTTAGAAGAGGTCATGGCACTAGAGATATTATCATCAATGTCAGATAGACCCTGGGAGAAAACTTAAGAGTACCAGAGTAACATCTGTCTGTTTCATAGACAATGCAAAGGCATTTGACTGTGTAGATCACAACAAACTGTGGCTAATTTTCAGGAGAATGGGAATTCCAAAGCACTTCATTTTGCTCATGTGAAACCTATACTTGGACCAAGAAGGAGTCCTTAGAACAAAGCAAGGAAACACAGCATGGTTCAAAATCAGGAAAGGAGTGTATCAGGGATGCATCCTATCTCTGTACCTTTTCAATCTACATGCAGAACGGATCATTCAGGAAGCAGGGCATTATGAGGAGGAGTGAGATATTAGGATTGAAGGAAGAGTCATCAACAATTTAGGTTATGCAGATAGAACAACCTTGCTTGGTGAAACTGAGGAGGACCTAAGGCACTTGCTGCAGAAGGTCAAAGACCGTCTTCAATATGGATTGAAACTCAACATGAAAAAGACAAAGATGCTCACCACTGGGCCATGTGACAACACCATGATAGATGGAGAAAAGATTGAGGTTGTTAACAATTAAAGTTTGCTTGACTCCACAATCAATACTCTTGGCACTAGCACTCAGGAAATCAAAAGAGGAATTGCACTAGGAAAATCTGTTGTCAAGGACCTTTCCATGGTACTGACAAAGAACCTTAGTCTAGAGAGTAAGGTGCACCTGATCCAGGCTATGGTCTTCACAACTACTTACTATGTATCAAAGAGCAATGACTAAGAAAAACAGAAACAAATCAATGCCTTTGAGTTATGGTGTTTGAGAAGAGTCTTAAACATACCATGGACTGCCAAGAAAACAAACAGGTCTGTCCAGGAGAGGGTGAAACCAAGTTTCTCCTTCGAGGCTAGCATTTAGAAGCTTTGTCTCATACACTTTGGGTTCATAGCCACGAAAAGAAAACTTATGTTGAGAAGAAATTAATAAACAATTACCTGCCAAAAAATGCCACTTTCATATGCCTCCGAGACAGCACCTCACCAATGACAGACAGCTTATTTTTATATGCCTGTATTTCAATCACATCATCCTCAGTGGCTATTTGGTCAAATTCTGGATTTCTGTATGTTGCTGTAAAAATAATTAATTAAAAGATCCATAATTAGAAATGTGAATATCTTGCAAAAGTTGCATACATTATTACAACAGGCCATAAGAGAACACTTGAACAAAAGAATTTCAAAAATTGCTAGCTTCAATAAGAGATGACCCAAGAAAACAACTATGAGATATCATCTCACCCCAGTCAAAATAGCAAAATTTAACGGAACAGCAAGCAATAAATGCTGGCGAGGTTGTGGAGAAACTGGAACCCTTATTCACTGTTGGTGGGAGTGTAAAATGGTGCAACCCCTGTGGAAAGCGGTATGGCG